ACAAGAATATTAAAGGAGGAGAAAACTTGCCTTATAGTGACAGTCTCACAGAGATTAATCTATTTATCTTAACAAAGAGTAGGTTACGGGGTGAGTTGTTCACAGTTCACCAGTGCCTACATGGGGAGCAAATATTTTACAATGAGCTCTTCAGTCTAGCAGAGAAAAGTATAACACTATCCAATGGCTGGAAGTTGAAGCTAGACACAAATTCAGACTGGAAATAAGGTGTACATTTTTAACAGTGAGGGTAACTAACCATTGAAACAGTTTGCAAAGGGTTGTGGTGGATTCTCCATCACTGGCAATATTTAAATCAAGATTGGATTTTTTTTCTAAAAGATCTGCTCTAGGAATTATTTTGGGGGAGTTCGATGGCCTGTGCTATACAGGAGGTCAGACTAGGTGATCACATTGGACCCTTCTGGCTTTGGAAACTATGAATTGACAGGGAAATGATTGCAGAAATGGCTATCCTGCAAAGAGAAATGGCTGAACACCTTAGAGGCAGCACATCACCCAAGTGGAGGCATACCAAATATGCTCACCAGTATATTTAAATTGGCAGTTAGTCTCCACATGGGAGACACTTGCCCTCCACTACTGTTCATGAGCAGAACACCAATTTATGGTAGCCCATAATATAACCAGTATGGAAACTATGGAAACCACCATGTAGCTAGCAGCCCAAGCAGAAATCAACACATTCATTTTCACTTGCCACCTGCTGTGGGGACAGGTGGCAGCTTCCCATGATGTTACAGGACCAAACTAGCAATGTCCTTGCCTGACATCTCATTTCCGCCTTCTGATGTGTCCAAACTCCCAGAAGCATATATTTCTACCATGCCAGAGGTACAGAAGCAAGCATATTTTTGTACACAGGTCCTTTATCTCCCTTATTAGCAAAAGAAATTCTGTATGGTAATACAGCCTCTAAAAAACTCTAAAGAATACATCTCTCTGTTCAGACTGGTGACAGGGAAACAGCTGGACACTCTTGATCTGATTTGAATCACCTTGAGGACTGGTCAGACAATTATTCAAAAGGGCATACAAGTTGTACAGAATTCTTACCAGTCTTGTATCTTTAAATGGGACTTTCTCCATAAGGTTCACTTCATCCTCTTGCAGGGGAGGGACATTTCTTCCATTGCAATGACAGGATTTCATTCATGCCAAAGTTTTCCATTTGTTGTTTCATATGTCTGTCCTGAACTCAGGCACAAATAAGCTGAATGTGTGTGGTGGGGTGGCAGCCCCACTCTTATGACAGATAGGGCTAGAGTAGGCCAGAGCAGCTGTGCAGAAGGGCAGCCAATCAGGGCCAGTATTATAGTCAGCCAATCAGGGCTAGGCTAGGCCCTATATAAAGGCTGCCCAGGAAGGGAGCAGGCAGTCTGTCTCCTAAGCAGGAGATAAGCACCTTGGATAGAGCAGTGCTGGGCAGGCTTGGGGGAGCATAGAAGGGCTCCAGCCCAATACCTGCCAGACTGCAGGCTCTGATAGAAAGCGCCTAGAGGGTATGAAGGGCCAGAGGGGAAGTGGCCCAGGGACAGTTAGACAAGGGGAGAGGAGGAGGGCAGGGAGGCTGCCACGAGAGGGTCCCTGGGTCAGGACCCAAAGTAGTGGGTGGAGGATAGAGCTAATTCCCGGAGGTGCCACTGTGGTGAGCCCCAACCCTGTCACCTGGATTTGTGCTGGAAATGGCCCAACTTGATGATCACTTTAGATAAGCTATTACCAGCAGGACAGTGGGGTGGGAGGAGGTATTGTTTCATATTCTCTGTGTGTATATAAAGTCTGCTGCAGTTTCCACGGTATGCATCCGATGAAGTGAGCTGTAGCTCACGAAAGCTCATGCTCAAATAAATTGGTTAGTCTCTAAGGTGCCACAAGTACTCCTTTTCTTTTTGCGAATACAGACTAACACGGCTGTTACTCTGAACCCTGTCACAATGTGCTAAACATTTTTCAGCACAAGCGTTGTTTTTAAAAGTCAGCATTTACATAGGACCCACATAATCAGGACTGAGTTGGGGAAAGACATTTATGGGGAGTTGCATGGGTCAATATTAGATCAGTCTTAACAACTTCATTAGTCAGAAATGGTAGCAAACACCACTGATTATAATATAAACTGGAAAGTTCTGCAAACAGAGATAATATGAAGGGCCCTAGAGTGGTCAGAAATATGGACAACACATAAAATGAGAATTGGCTTAGGAAAATGCAACAACACAGATCTGGGGGAAATAATCTGAAAGAAAAATACTGAGGAAGGAATCTGCAAAAGGAGTAAAGGTGAAAGTACTTGGCAACAAATTAGTTATGAGTTTATAACGAGATGTGACAACAAAAAAAGCCAATGAACTTTGAGCTTTTTATGTCACAGAGCAAAAAGAAAAAAAGTTAATCTCTGGACAGCCCACTCCTGAAATACTGCATTCAGCTCTGGACACCTCCTTGCCAAAAAGCTTTGGACAACTAGAGAGTTCAAAGGAGGGCAACAAAAAAGATTGGTAAGCAGGAGAGACCGATTTACTGCATGAGAAAACATTGAAATAGCTTGGTGCAATGATTAAGTGGGCACACAACAATCTTCAAACATCTGAAGTGTATAAATGCAGACGGAGAGAAGTTAATTATTGTATTACAAGAGGACATACACAGTAACTAGAAAGAATGGAAGGAAATTAAGGAAGGGGAAATCTAGGCTGAATATCAGGAAAACCTCCTTGACAGTGAGATCTATTGGAAGAGATGGAAGGCACATCATTTGGGAAATCTAAAATTAGACAAGACAAAGCGCTAGAAAATGTAACAAAGGGAACCATCATACATTGTCAAGGATGCAAACAAGATGACTTAATATTCTAGGTCTTTTCCTACTCTAATATTTATTATTTTTTTGTTAGTCATCAATAAAACCAGAGGTAAAATAAAGACTGGTATAGTCATTAAGCTTCCACAAAAGGATGGCCTTTAAGCAACTTATGTTATTTGATGACATGTATGGCAGTAAGATACCTCAGAAGCTTAATATAGCTCCAGTGCCTATGAACATGTTATCCTGCTTGATAGAATGTGTAACTCAACTGAGGTTTTGCTGACTTCATAACCTGTAAAGAATACAACCCTAAGTGATTTATGAAAAGCAGCAATAATAAACAAATCTCCTGTGTGAGAGAGCGCGCAACTGAACGTGGGACCTTAAGCAACTGAATGTGGGACCTTACACTATAGTTCTATTTCAACAAAGAAAAATTATATTTTTCTAGAGAAGCAACAAAGCAAAATCCATTTCAAATTCAAAATTAAAATTTGAGGGACATTTGTGTTTCTGAGGCAGAAAAGTAAATAAACATACTATAAATTGGACAGTAGAATATTCAAAGATAAATTGCTGTGACTGGGAGAATTTAGTTGAACTTATCCAAGATCTTTTGCACTGTGCCCATATTGTATGTCTACATAGTAAATGGCACAGCATGGATTTTGTTCCTTTGGTGCCACCTTATTTTATTCTGTTTTCACTGACAACTGAGCTGGAAGTAATCGGAGAAGAGCAGGAGAGAAAGACAGGAGTGAGGAAAAGGACTTAATTCTTATAAGTTCCTGACTATACACTATGTCTATATGTTTCCAAAAAATGGGGGAGGGGGAGTGTAGAAAGAGGAAAACCCTCACTGTCAGATCAAAATGAGTAGGGAAATCTAATAATTTAAAGTTTAAGTCTGCAGGTTTAGCAGCTGTTTAAGAATGTCTTTTCTAATGTTCATCTGGCCTCAGCCTAACGGGCTGCAGAATAAACTTCAGTGTAGTAATTATTGTTAAAAATGCAACATCTGCCATCAGTAACCAGTGGCTGTCACTACAGTTTCAGATAACACTGTTAACTCTGGGCAAATGTTGACTTTCAATGGCAACCAAAACACCTCAAAAGTTGATTTACAAATATTTTTGTTCTTATCACTTTGACCCTCAGAATGTGCTACACTGCCATTTAAAAAAAAAATAAAATAAGTAAGTCATGTCAGGTACAATTTTCAAATGCACCTAAATGTCTTTGGACCCTAAGGTCTATTTTCAAAATTGACTTAGACTGACTCACTGACTTTTTTTTAAAACTGTATCCTTAATCTAATTGACACATTTATGCAATCATCCTTTTTTAAACAGAAAAATGTTAAATATAATACAATTATTAAAGAAACTGTTGAAAGACAGGATACTGGGCCAGATGGATCATACTGACTCAGTATGGCCGTTTGTTCTTACGTTACCATTTTTCCTGCCAACTGACATAGGACTAAAACTGGCAGGAAACTTTTTTAATCAATATTTAGAATTATTGAAAAATTTCTATCATCCCTACATAGGACCTGATATTGCCATCAATCCTCACTCATAACCCCCTCTAATTTCAGTGGGCATCTCAAAACAGCTTTAATAGTAACCAGCATATCCCATGCATTCTAATACTATGCATTACTTCCTTGACAGGAAGTTGAGTAAATTCAGCAGACCAGTCTTCCAGCAAGGAAACAGCCATAAGCAGCTATGCTCACTTAGACCATTCCTTTACTGAGACAGTGAAACAGAAACAGGTATTTCTGAAGAATGTTTGATAAATCACTCTTATTCATACACACACACACTTTGTAACCTCGAAACAGCAAATGGCGGACAGCCTCCATTCAGTTAGAGTCTGGTTTATTTAGCTATGGGGAACTTTCATGTTACTTCATGGACAGAGTGGATGTAATAACACATACACAGAATATGTAACTTTATATAAAATTACTGATTATATCAAAAAGAGCAAATCAACAGGTTTTTTTTAAAACAAATACAGCGGTTTTAGTGCCATGACAGTTCCCAACAGCTCTCTGGCTCTCTCTCTTATTATGCTGCATAACCATTCTCAAAAACTTGGATCCATGCCTGCCCACCAGTAGACTAGGTGAAAGGGTCTAATACCACACTGCAATACTTACCATCACCAAAGAGATGAGTCACAAGCTTTGTGAGCACTTGTTTTAGATTGAATTCCACCAGCCGCACTGCCTCCATGGTGTGAGTCTCCTGCTTGTGTGCTGTGCGGTGCCCTTGCTCAAGCAACTGTAAACTTTCTCCATCTTTGATGTTGCTGAACAACTAAACCAACAAAACAAAAAGCACATTGTTTTGTATTGACTTTTCTAATGAAGTTTTATTGACTCTAGAAGGGAGTTCAGCTGCTGAGTCTTCAGCATGAAATAGAAATTTAGGGATCATGATTTTGTATTGGTGTAATTGTGAGCATAGTTTTTTCCTGAAGAATCTTTATTATGGACGATGATGCCAACAAATATACAAGGAAAAAATCCAGCCTGACTTTCAGGACCCAGGTTGAGTCTGCAGGGATGGCAGTTAGAAAAACTATTTAGCATATTTGTTATGGAAATCAAGAGGCAATAAACACTGCATCTTAAAAATCACTTTCCAGAGCAGAGTCAAACACTTAAAAGCTGTAGCCAAAAGTAAGGAAAAATGTAAGAGAAGCTAGTTTCTAGTTTAAAGATATATGATGTTTGAAACCTCTTTTATTTTTATTTAAATTTTTTTTTTACAAATTCCATTCTTTAAACAGTAAGATGAACTATCAAACATTCAATCAACTGAGCTTTACAACTTGATTCTGTACACTGATTTATAGCTACTAATTACAAAAATCTATTTGTAGGAGAGAGATTCATAATCTGTTTGATTTAATTTGTTACTATAAATCTGTTTGGGATGGGAGATTCACAACTTAACTTCTGAATGGTTTAAAATGGTTAAAATAAAATGGTTTAAAAAATTATCAGGATAAATAAGAGTACCCAAAACAGAGAATACAATGTAGTACATCTAAGTTATATCACAATATTAATATAGAACATATTTGACGCACTATGATTTTATAAAAATATGCTAATGAATGAATATAATGTAATTAGAATATGCTTCATGCAAAAGGTCTCTTGTAAGGCATCATTACAAAGCTTATAATTTATTGAGTGCAGTCATCCTAATTGTATAAATGTATCACTCTTGTATCTGAAACTAGAAATATGAAATATAACTGAAGGCCTACTGTAATTATGCAAAGCGTGGGCCATTCATGGTGGTTTGGAATCTTGATGGCTTCCATCAGCCTGGACAATTGACTGTGGAGGGCTCTGTTTGCAGGCAGGCCTTCCTGTGAGTCAGGCTGGGAGAAATGAAGGCTTGGAGTCTTACAGGACATGTGACCATGTCACCTGGTACTGAAATCCATCTTAAATCTGGTGCTTTTCCATTTGGGGGTGGGGACCCAGACAGGGCTGGCTCTAGGAACCAGCAAACCAAGCACACGCTTGGGGCAGCACTCTGGCTTTTTGTTTTGTTTTGTTTTTTGTTGGTGCTTGAGGTGGCAAAAAACCTAGACCGGCCCTAGACCCAGAGAGAAAGGATGCCCACCTTGTGCCAAAGCCATATAAAGGGGTGGAACAGAACAGAGGAAGCAGCTTTCATGAGAAATCCCCTAGCTACCACCTAAGCTGGAACAAGGGCTGTACCAGGGGAAAGGATTGTGCCCAGACTAGAAAGGTACCCGGTCTGTGAAAAACTTATTGAAACATCTCTAAGGGTGAGATTTTTATCTGTATTCAGTTTTTATTACTGTACTAAACTTAGATTTGCATATTTTATTTTGCTTGGTCATTCACTTTGTTCTATCTGTTACTACTTGGAACCACTTAAATCCTACTTTCTGTGTTTCATACAATCACTTTTTTTACTTATTAACCCAGAGTATGTATTAATACCTGGGGGGAGGGGAGGGGAATAGCTGGGCAATCTCTATCCGTGTTATATAGGGCGAACAATTTATGAGTTTACCCTCTATCAGCTTTATACAGGGTAAAACGGATTTATTTAGGGTTTGGACCCCATTGGGAGTTGGGCATCTGAGTGTCAAGGACAGGAACACTTCTGTAAGCTGCTTTCAGTTAAGTCTACAGCTGTTAGGGGATGTGGTTCAAGTCTGGGTTTGCAGCAGGCTAGTGAGACAGGCACAAACCAGGCAGAGCACTGAAGTCCCAAGCTGGGAGGGCAGGGAAAGCAGGGCCAGAAGTAGTCTTGGCACATCAGGTGACAATTCCCAGGGGGTTTCTGTGATCTAACCCATCACAGTACTATAGCTTGAAAAAATTTTCAAAAATTAAAACACTCAAATCTATGAAAGTCGAATAAATGAAAAGCTATAAACGTAAGCTAGCTTTGGAAACCCAAAAATAGTTTCCAAGATCTCTAAGTTCATGTGATTGACCCATCCCTAATAAGAACATTTTGATTCTTCCCAAAGAGACCTGCAGGTCATGCTAGAATTTTAGCCACATTTAGAATAGCCACCATAGAATGTACCTGCCCTTAATATTGCAGCTGCCTTCCAAATTGATAAGCTAAAAATCAGCAGACCTCATGTGTATTACATAGCGGCTGAATCCAACTGTTTCTTCCATTGCACCACAAAGGGAAGCAGGCAGGATGGGTGGGTGGGTGTGCGAGAGACGCCCCTCCACAAAGTACCTTGTACCCTATGGGAAAGTGCACTCAGCTGAAAGAAAGTTCAAATTTCACTTCTACTTACTGCTGTTTATATTTCTATACTTCACCATTCTTATTCTTCAGCACAATTTATAAACATTATAGAAGGCAGTCAAACTGCTTTTCCTGTTGTACAAATTAAACTTCAAGGCAGCACAAGGTCATTTCAGGCAGTGCTGAGAATAGAACCTAGGTCTAACAGGGAAGACCCAAGACACATTGCCTTTCAAATTACTATGTCAAATTAGTATACTTGTCTATAGCCACTGCTCTAGCTATTACATAACACTCTCCTCCCAGAGCCAGGAACAGAATTCAGGAATCCGAATCCCAAAATACTGCAGCTGCCTACCAAATAGCTCTGTGACCCACTGGCTAAATGTGTGTAGTGTCCTTCTGGCATGGCTGGTCCAGAACAAAAATATATTCTTTGTAGCTTGCATAATAGAGGGCTGTCCTGGGGAATCTGAAAATCCAGGAATTATACCCTACCGATGACCTATTTATTATTCAAATTTTCTTTTTTAAAAACTAATTTACTTTAAAAATACTTAAAACCAGATTTTAAAGTTAAAAACCATTAAAATCTCAAAGGCACACAAAGAGTAACCAACCACATCTGTATATCTCTCACCTGTCAAACAATTTGATTGCCAGTGTCACACTATGGAAGATCTGAAAGCTGAGAGGCATGACAACAATAAATATACGGGTGGAGAGAGGGCAAAGAATTATTCACATAAATCCTTGTGCACACAACCCCTCTTATCCGTGCAGGCTAGTCTGACGACTCAGGTGATAAAGATTGATGGTAGATCCCTTGAACTTTTAACAGATGGAACAAGGGGAAACTTGGAGATTAACACTTTTCCTGGAACAGAAGTGTACATAATACAAAATACTCATGCCCATAACAGCAGGTTGCTATGGAGTAGAGGATGCAATTTTAGCTCACTTTGCTACAGGGTTAATGTAGACATGAAGTTGTTGTACTGAAGAAGCCCAGCGCAGAATGCAAACCCTTTCAAGTAGGGTACCAAAAAGCCTTGTAAATACTGTGCATCATAACCAGTTTGCATGGATTCAAATCCCTGATGTTCATAAAGGTTTCCCATGATCAATTCTTGTAAATCCATAAGCAAAAGTCAATGACACTTTTCTGATATTTGCAGTGTTTGCTATCTCACAAGAACAGGAAAAGAAGCAGGCTTCCAATGCAACAAAGTAAATTTATCTGAGATCAAAGTTATTATAAAACTGTGGTATAATTATCTGAATCAAAATATAAAACAAGATAGTTCACAAAGTGGAGAATCACAGAAGGTAACAATTTACTAGGCAACTGCCTCCTAGAGTCAGACACACACAGGGGCCAGCAGAATTACTTCTCCATACTTCCCCTCTATTTGATTTTCCAGGTCAACCTCTCCCCTTGTGAAACGAAGTGAAAATGGCTTCTACTGAACCTCCTGACTACATTAGATATAATCAGCCAATCAAAGGCACAGCAAATATGCATTGTGATTGGCCTATTTGATCTATCCCAGCAAACGTGTCTTTAACTCAGAATGTACAATGAACAGTATCCTTAACAGTTCACAGATGCCTATAGAGTTAACAAAACAAATACACTTGTAAAATGCTTTTTTTGAAGTTCTAATAAACCACTGCTGACTTTCAAATGCAGGTCACAATTAATCAAGGTTAAATTCTAGCACAAATATTAGATGTAATGTGAACTGGGGAAGTCTGAATTTAATTATTAGGAAAATTAGCAGCCAAGATTGGGCAAGTGAGTGGGGGGGAAAAAAGACACTACAGTACCCCCTGAACTGGTCTATTATTACAAGTCAGGAGGTGACTTGGTTGGGAAACAGAAAAAAGAACCTGAAGTCTGATTCTTATGTTGTCTTCAGCATGTCACAGGAGAGGGGGAAAAAGGAAATGAGTACTCATCACTCTAACAAAAAAGGCAGCAGCTTTAAAAATTATTTATTGCGCTTTGAAATAACAAGAGGTTCATCTTGTAATTTACCATTTGAAAGTTAAAAAACACCCTTTCCCCCACTGGCATTTTTTCTGCATTGCCCAAACAAAACAAATTGTCTCCACCACAGCATCCACTTGACCTTAACCACTAGCTGCACAGATCAATCATCTAAAACTCTGGCTACATCGACACTAAGAGCTAGGGCTGTGATTCCCAACTCACACAGAGCTCTCATCTGAGCTAGAAAACTAAAATTGTAGTGGCATTTGGGGTCATTAAGCTAAGAGCTGCAGAGATATGAACCCTGGGGGGAAAAAAACCAGCCATTTAAAAAAAAATACAACCAAAAAACCAAAAATCAAGTTTTTTGTTGTTGTTGTTTTTTTTGCACAGAGCTCAAACTATTGATGTGATGTGGGTCAAAATGGTCTCAGTCTGTCAAGTTATACCCAAGGTAGTGCATGGCATCACTAAATCTTTGGGGGACCCTAAGCGATATTTAAGAAAATATACTTTTTTTTTTTTTTTTTTTAGTGCATGCACCAATATGGTTAGA